CCCAAATTTATGGAATTAAGCCAAGAATGGGTACAATTTCTTCTTTAATCAAGTCTTCCATCTTACAAAGGACAAAATACAAGTTGTCTCCAATAAAGAGGCGCCGTCTACTAGGAATTAAGATAAACTTCCAAATTTATGAAATTAAACTGAGAATGGGTACAATTTCTTTTTGATCAAGTCTTCCACATGACAAAAGACCAAATACAAGTTGCCTCTGCTAAAGGGACCGCCACCTACTAGGAATTAAGAATCATCAAGTTTATCGGGGTACTCAGAAGATATGCATGCATATTTAATTACAAAACAAGTTTCTCAAATAAAGAGAAAAACCATCTGTAAGGATTTCACAACAAACTTCTCTGCGGAACTTTTTTAGAGAGGTGCCATTTGATGGAAAATAAAGGCTTCAAAACAAACTTCTCTGCGGGACTTTTTCAGAGAGATGCCATTTATTGTGAGGATAACTTATTGATATCTGGATGACATACACGCTATTCAAATAAAGAGATAGCCACTTGTTATCAAACAAGAACATGTTAGGAACATACAAGTTGCTCAAATAAAAAGGCCGCCACTTGCTGTCAGACAAAGATTCCAAGAGAGTGTTGCCATAACACTGATGTGAAACAAAGTTCTCATCTTCTGATGGAGAAATCATAAAGAGATTTCAGTTGATGAAAATAAAATCCTCAAAGGTACAAAATAAATGCACTCTCAATCTAGGTTTCACGGCCTAGAGAGATCAACACATATTGTTGCAGGGGACCAGGACCAAACCGAAGTGAAATAATCAACCAAGACTCTACCCAATGAGGAATAAATTCAAATAGGGATTAGTTCCATCCAAATAATAAGTTGGGGAGAAAAATTCAAGCAAAAATTATTCCACGAGTAATAAACTCAGTGGGGAAATCGAAAGATATACACTTTCTGCTTAAGGTTGACACTTTACTGGAGAGAGTACACACAAAGGATACATACTATGCGAGGGCATAAACAACACCAAAGAGAGTAGATTGTTAACATCAAAGAATGAAAATGAGCACTAATCTAAGTCTGATTATGCATGATGTATGTATAAATTAATGAATGAACGTTATGTTATGATGCATATGATGACAAAACAAACAGCGAATTAGCTAGAAAAAACTGAACAATAAAGACTCAGCCAGGGATGCATTAGAAACTGAGTCGGGGAATGTTAAGTTCCACGGTACAAATAGATACTCGGCTTAAACATAATATGATGGAGGTAGATTTGAAATGATGAAAGTTCATCAAACATCAATTCAAACCTAATTGAACAAGATAAATTCATCATCATCCAATTGTTTAAAAGAAAAAAGAAAAAGAATGAGAAGAAAAGAGATGAAACCAAATTGAATCAAGACATGGATTAAAGTCATCATCAAGATCAATCACATATCTTGGTTGATCAAGGTGATAAACCTCTCATCAACCTAAAGTACCAAAAATGATTCGATTAGTCATTTAATGGTACATTTGAATTAATGAAGGTTTATCAAACCAAATCAACACCCAAAGTCCATTTATATTAATGAGACTTTTGATCAAAAAGTCATAATCCAAGGCACCAAAAGTCAATAAAATTAAAATGCACTAATAAGTAATTAAAATGCATGGAAATGGTTTTAAATTGAAAATAAAAGGGAAAATAGAAAAGTAATATCAAACTATCAAATAAATGCCAAAAGAAATTATAGAAAAATCAGAAATGACTTAAAATATTTTTAGGAACTTTTTGGTAAATTTTCAATACAAAAACTATTTTTAAACTAATTAAAATAAATCAAATAAGAGAAAATCAAATAAAATAGGAAATATGAAAATAAAATTTAGAAAAAATCACACAAAGTGTAAAATAGCCAGAAATATTTTTGTGATTTTTTTAGGAGTTTTTGAGTGAAAATCTGATTTAATATGAATTTTATAAAATAAAAACAAATAAAAACAAAATAAAAGAAATAAAATAAATGAGAAAATGCGTAAGCCATTGGATCTGACTTCATTAATCTAGGTGGCGGATCAGATGGTCTTGATCTGGAAGCACACCATGGACTCTTGAGGAAATAACACATCAAATCCATTTTAAACCATCTAATGAAATTAAAACGAATGGCACAACATGATTGGCTGAACCACTTAAACAAACTCTGGCCACCCACACGTACCTCCAATCATCTTCTCCAATGAGATGTCACTGTAGTTCTAGAAAATAGGAAAGTTAGGTCATGAAACCTATACCATTGTAATCCTTTCATCACTGTGAATCCAACCATAGGCTTTAAATTCATTTATTCAAAGTGTGTGAAGAGAATTTTGCAGAAACTCGTGACATTTTTAAAAACTAAAATCAAAATTAAATAGTGAACACGAAAGATAAATTAAATCCGAGATAAGGATGAGTATCAATGAACATCAAACAACATTATACGAACTTGTTTAAGCAAAAATAGAGCCTCTAACTACCTTGTCCAAGTGTGGTCAGAAGTGAAGAAATCTGGATTTGGTTAGCACAATTCAGTGGCTTTCAAGCTTCAGTTCTTGTTGCTATGGCTTCAGGAGATGGCAAGGAAGCTTAAGGAATAAAAAATGGTGCTAAGAAAACTTAGGAAACAAACACGACCTCTGAGAAATTGAAGAGAAATTCTGACTTCGAGTCGGGGTTTGAAAGGCTTTCAAAGCTTGAAGTTGTGAAGAATAAGTTGCTCTATTTATAACTGAGGTGAGATGATGCAATACATGTGAAGTTTGTTGCAAATATGTGTGAAATCATGTGAAAGAAAAGTGTGATTATTCTTGGTTATGAAGTCATCAAAATACAACTTTTCCTTTTCCGTTTTGGGTCGTTTTTTATCCTTGCGCATCACTAAGCATCATCATGGACAAAACACGTGCAAACCTTGGCTTGAATTGGAGTAATATAATGATTTATAAAATCGACTTTGAGCAATTTTCAATTTCATGAGGGCAACTTCAAACCATTGTGAAATCTTGTATTTATGACCTTTGATCCTCGTTCTTTTTTGCAAAATATTCACATTATAACAAAGAGCACAATGTGACAAGAAATTATTGATTTGGACACTTGAGAAAAAATTTATGAACTAGTAAAGTTGACATCATGACTTGTACTTAGAGGTTAAAGTAATTCTAAGTCGAAAATGACCTATAATATCTTCAAACTTTTCATGGCTTTCCAAGTATAATTGGCTCTTGATCCTTGAAACAAACTTGTAGAAGGCATTAAATGTGATAATTGTAAAAATGAACCACCCACAAAAGTTAAAAATTGATAGAGTTATGATCTTTGGAAGATAGGAATTTCACACTTAAAGTATAGGTCAAATTTTACCAAGTCCACAAAATTACCTCTAATGTTTCTAAACTTTTGATGATCTTCCAAGCATAATTGACTCTTGACTTGTAAATAGAACTTGTAGAGGATATCAAGAAGAGTCCTTTTCCCAAAGAAGCACTAAAAAATATTGAAAAATGAATGAGTTATGATATTTTGAAGTTGGAATTGAAATGTTGACTTTTTAGGTCAAGGTACTTTAAATCATCTTGAATCTTTGGACTTTTCTTGCATTTCAAGGCACCATGATAAACATGTGAACTCTACGTGGTGGATTATTGCTTGAACTATGATTGATCTTGGCTAAAGATTGCAGAAACTTGTTGAACGAGACATGAAAATAAACACATGAACCTTGAGATACCTTGAGAAGTAAGCAAGCAAATTTTGAGCTATCTTTGATCAAATGATGTTGAGTGATGTTTGAAGAGATTGTGATCTAAGATTATATGTCATGCTTTGATGAATAAACTCTTGAGAACCAATGGTTGACCAACTTTGACTTGGGGCTCAAAATCCTAATTTAGCAATCATACTTGATGTTTTTTATTCAAATTCATACCTTGCAAAACAAATGAGAGAAATAAAGCATATTTTTGGATTTTGGTTAAGGTTAGTAAAGCATAAAGATATATAAACACAAATCAAAAGATACACAAGAGAATGTTTGATGATCTCCTCGAGACAAGAACCAGAGAAATGATTAGGAGGCAATCAAGTTTGTGATCTTGATGATAATGCAATGATGCAAATGATATGAGATCTTAGAAGAAAAATTTAGAGTATAACAAAATTATTCTACTGCGTTGTGGATTTCCTCCTAATACAATATTTATTGAATGAGGTGAAGATATACAAAGAAGAAGAAATGCAAGTAATGGTAGAAAACAAATTAATAATTGATCTTACAAATAGTCTTATATGTCATAGAAGAAGCAAACACATAAGTTTTTCTATCTTAAAGATCAAATAAATAATGCCGAAATTATTTTGACATTTGCATGACAAATGATCAAAGATATGAGAAGCATGACCGACGGGATAAATGTAGAACTTTTAAATTAAAAGGGAGTGTTGAAATGTAATTTGTGTTACTTAATAAACTAATTAAGCTGTTTTGGATTTAATTAAGGACTTACTATACAAGTCACTAACTAAACTAATTAAGCTGTTTTGGATTTAATCAGTGACTTGTAAATCCAACTAGTGTGTATAAATGATCACTTATGTGATTATTAATAAGCACACAACTTCCATTCTAATTATTATTTTTCTTCAAAAAAAACTTCTAACTTACACTTGACTCACCAACATGTAAGTAAGATGACCCATATAACTAAATTTTATTAAAGATTATTGATGATGTTGTCTCCCATTTTAGTTGTAGGGTTATTTTTTGTCTTTTTAGTAATGACAAGAGAGGAGTTTAGAAGCGCAAGAGACAAAAGACGAGGTAAAGACTCTATCAGTAATTCCTTGTATCTCTCTGTTATTGTTTGCTGTGTCCCAATCTGTCAGATATTCAAATTTATTGCTCTGCACATTTTCACGCACACATTTAACTCTACCGCTTCTTTATATTCTCATTCATTTTTTTGAATTTTCTCAATTCAATTCTATGGCCTCACCATCACCCAAACCACAGAAAAAACTTTCAGAATTTCTAAATGAACAGCAAGAACCCTTCATCCTACAACTTTACTTATCAGAAAGATCAAATTCCTCTAAAACATTCACTTCAACTTCACCCAAGAATTTCAAAAACCCTTCAAGCTCTTGCTTCCTAAACAAAAAGAGAAAACCTCTCTTTCCATTTTGTAAAATTTTAACATGTGTACACAAAAAGAAGCTTCCAGCAATCAAGAACTCCTACACTACAAACAAACACAACAATGTTAATGTCACTCATCACGAAGCTAACAACGTTGATGATCGAACACAAATAGCTACAGAAACAGATCGTTTCTCAACTGCCAGCAGCTCCACCGTGTTCCATTCATGCTCAGATATTGATGATGAAGAAGAAAGAACTTCATTTTCATCTCACAAATATTATAATCCTCTGTTTTCTTCTAACAGTGTCTGCAACATAGGAATCCAAAGGTATGAATTGAAATCAAATTCTGATTCACGTAAATCTTTGAATTAAAAGATATGTTAATTAATTATGTTACCCTTATGAACAAATTAAGCCAGCAAGAAACCGACAACAGAAAGTGCCACCAGAGATGTATAAAAGGTATTGTTACTTTAACTCTGTTACTGTTCCAACTTTCTATGAATAATCTGTTACACTTTTATTTTTATGAACATTTCTGTTACAGTTCCAGTTATTTTTTCGTATATGTATATTTTGTTAAATACATGTAACTGTTTTTTATTAATAATAATTTTTGATTATGTATCAGTGTGTCCGACATATGAAACATTGAATGAGGATGTTTGTGTTTGCGGTGTGGTTGTGCCTGAGAAAATCAATGAGGAATCTCTATTATTACCTGCTATATTTACTTCACTTATTCAAACAGCAAAGAGAGATCAAAAGAACTATACTAAACAACTGCGACAAATTCTTGAGCATAAAAGGGTATTGCACAAGACAAAGAAGCTCTTATTTGATTGTGTTAGAGAATTGACCAAAAATGTGAAGAAAAAAGATTGTAAGCGATTAATGGGAGCTGAAAAGTTGGGGAAGATAATATGGAAAAGAAGAAAAGAAGGTGGTGAAAAGAATGAGAGAAATGTTAGTAATTTGCTGAATTTGGAATACTTGTTGGATTCAAGGAATGAATGGAGTGAGTTTAAGACTGAGATGAAAGATATTAGTATTGAGATTGCTGATGCAATATTGGAAATTGTAATCAAGGATGAAATTGTATGAATCATATTTTGCCACCAACCACACAGCAACAAACTTAATTTATTTTGATGTAATATTTCATACCATGAAATTAAATGATGTGTTGCTTTCTTTTTTTTTCGAATTGAAAATCTGAAACATCAAACGAGTTCCAAAGGATTCAAAATGGAATAATATAGATTTTGATGATTCTATTGTTTTGGTTGTTGGTTGGAAAGGTGTTGTCCTTTATTGATTATGTGAGTGAAGTTTAAATATATGGTTTAGATAAACAGTTTTATTTCTTTTTGTAGAAATTTTTTAGAAGCCGTGACGATGAGATTTGAAGCGGTTACTTTTTGTTGTTGAATGGGTTATTATTGAAGAACATAAATGTACATAGGATATGGACATTTAAACAACTAGACAAGTCTATCAAATCAAAATGAGTATTATATGGTTACTTTGAGATGGAAATTAGCTTTGTGGGGACAAAATTATGATGCCTTCACCCACTACCGCTGCGCCATTCAGCTCATTAACCTTTTCCATTAAAGGTGTGTTTTGCTTTCATTAGGGTGTGTGTGAGTCTCACTGTTAGGTGAGTTTATATTCAAATTCATACAAGTCTCTTTAGATAGAATTTTAGATTTATTTTTTAAAACTATTCTAAAGCTAAACTGGTTATTTGTAGAAGGTTGATGATGTCCATTTTAAGGGGTTGAAAAAGCAACTCCAAGTACAAGAAGGAGACGGGTGAAGTGAACTTATTCAAAATTTGAAAATGATTTATAAAAATTTGGATTTTAAAAGTGTTTATCTTGATAAAAGACTTAAAGTAAAAGAGAAAAGGGATAAAATCATTGCACTAGAGATTTATCTTGATTCAACCTCTCCTAATCGAAGAACAACTTATTTAATCAATTAAGAGGCGTTAAAAATAGTTTTAATTGATTAGGGGAAACCCCTGATCGATTAACTAGTGTAAAACACCTTTTTAATTGATTAATATGCTTCTAACCTATTAAATGCGTGATCAGAATGATTTTAAGCTATTTTATCAAAAGAGAAAACATGTTTGAAAAGAATTGTCTGTGTGTGCATTGTCTTAGTACATCAAGACTTATTCTTGTTTCTTTAATAATTAATGAATCAAGACTAGGAAAAACCCTAAACACATGATCATACGAACTTTCACACTTTCATAACTTCTAGTCTTCAAGCTTAAAGGTTATTGTTGGATGAGAATATGGTGTTAGAAACAGACTAGAGGGAGAAGGGTGAATAAGTTTTTAAAACAAAATCAACTGATTCTTCAAATAAGAATAACCAGAGATTTTTCAGAGTTTGCGCGCGCAAGCTTGTAGAGCGAAAATGTGAAATCATACTCGCTTGATAATTATTTGTGTAATATCTCAAATCAATTTATAAATATTGTAATGTCTAGATGATAAAACGCAACATATGCAATTGAATTAATTGTATAAGTCGCGAGACGTGGTTAATCAATTAATCAACAAGGAGAATTCTAAAAGCACAATGTTTCTCAGATTTTAATCATCAATAAAGCTCTTTCTATGTCTCCAATTCCAACAAAACCTAAGGTTATCAAATAAGTCGCTATCACTACTACAAATAACACTTTTTATGACAAAACTCTCACTTCGAACATGCTAAAAAAACGAGAGTATAGGTCCTGAGAGCGATATTGTTTGATTTTTTTAATTAATAAATAACCTTTTCCCTCGATTTTATATAAGTAAGTGTCATGTTTTATCCATAAAAAACTCATTCTCTCGGTTTTTTGGAAAACCGATGGAATATAGCTATAAGGGATCTCGCTTCAAATTCATATCACTATATTTAAGGTTTTTGCAACGATTTCTCACATGGCGTCTTTCCAGATTCTATGTTTTTCTTTATTAATTAGTAATTCTCAAAATTTATGTTTTCAATAAATAAGAATAGACAATAATAGAAAAGGAAATATTTTATTGGTAATAAAAAAATAGGACAACGGATAACTATTCCACATATTCAAACTTCTGACTCCACTCAACTTTAATGTTTCCTCTAATTATCTCTAACTGAGAGAAAAGTTCATAAAGAACTCTTCCATATGGTATGAGGAAAGTCATTTCCTTCCGAGAGATGATTATCATTTCTTTTAAGAAGTTAAAAATGGTAAGAAAAATATTAACTCTAGCGTTGTAGGTAAGGAAGTACAAGAAATTCTTGTGATTCCAATTAAGTGTTTCCAGTCGTTTCTCTCTTGGAAGGAGATTTGGCACTAGAAGTTGATACCAAACTTTTGCAACTCGGAGTAGAGTAGCAGAAGTAATGAGCTGATTGTAGTTGGCATAAATTTGGTGAAGGAGGGTTGAGTAGACATTGTTGAATCTATAATGTTCTACACGACTACCAAACTCTTTTATTGCCTGAGCAATAAGCGATGGATTAATGGTGATAGGAGAGCCATTGACATAGGATTGGATTAACTCAGAGTCCTGACCCCATAACCTCTTAATGAAATTAGTATAAAGGGGGTCATGAAGAATGTCAAAGTAATCATTCAACTTTTGTTTGGAAATAGTTTTCCTTAGATCGAAACCTTTGTCTTTCAAATCATCAAAATCAACAAACTTTTTATTGATAACGAACAAAATATTTTCATCCATTTTTGAATAAAACAAAAGAATTTGAAACTAAGTTTGAAGACAAAAAGATTTGGAAATGAGACGCTGGAAATAGGAATATTGTTTAAATAGCTCAAAAGCCTCCTTGAAAAGCCAAAAGATATGTTACGTTTTGAATATGAATGATCATTGTTATTCTAGTTATATTATTCCAGTGCACGCCATGTTTTAGAAATAAAACCACATCTTACCTCGGATTTTCTAATAACCGAGGGAAAAACATTTTAGGAACCTATCTTTTTATTATATTTTTATTTGTAAACTAAATGATATATCCCGTCGATTTTTTTAATAAGCGAGGGATAAAATAATCATATTTTACTATAAAAGCACTCCTCAAACATATTTGACATTAATCCTAACTTCTTTTTTTTATTTTCTTCTTTAGATAGTGTTATCCCACCATTAGTTGGTGGATAGCTCTATCATTGGATGTTTTGAGGGACAGACGCGGGTCACCGTACAGTCATAAAAGCAACTCGTAGGGCACTTTATCAATTTTTATCGTAAGGGACTAGATCGTTTACCGAAGGCAACATCGAATGGTCATCGAGGGACTACGATCTTTTTTGTATCGGAGGGACTTTGTTAAAGTGTCCCCATGTTCGAGGGACATGACTTTTTTTCCGAAGACAACAAGTGGGGGTACCTTAGAGGTACGTGTGTGAGAGTGTGTTGTGTTTCAGTTATGTTTATCTTGAGTGTTAGGTTTTCTGGCGTTTGCTTTTAGTCTTTCCATACAGGCCTATTAGCATACATCTAGCAATTAATTGTATATAAGTACGAGAAATAAAGTGAGGAAAATGAATCTACGCTTTACATCGCTTCGGGGTGGGGGAAATTACAAACCAAAAATGAAGAATGAAAAGTAAAAGGTCCTAGTTTTAACTATTACATACCATGTGCAATTACATGATTTTATGAAAATAATGCCAATAAAAATAAATGAACGTGTGGAGGAGAAAGAAAGAAAGATGTAAAGAACCCTAAAAATCTAAGTGGAAGAAAATGTTTTTTTGTTGTTTTTAATTTTCGTTCAGAAAAATAATTAAATCATGAGAAATTAATTCTAATAAGTTAATTAATTAAAAAAAAGGTGATTAAATGATTGATCAAAATTAATTTAATTAATAAAAACTTAAATCTACTATTTTTGTGATTTTCTAATTTTATGATTTTTTAATAAAAAAAAGAATTAATTGAAAGAAAAGAATAAAATAGTAAATGAAATAATAAAATAAAAAAAGAAATATAAATGAGCTGCTGCAAAAAAAATGTTAGGGGGTGAATAATCAGATTTTTGCAAGGCCCAACATCTCAGGGCCAGGCGTTTGCAAAAGGAAATGGGAGGTGCAGTCTCGAGTTTGGCTAGGCCCAAGTCAACTGAGCCCAGGAGCTTCGTTTGATCCAATACATCTGGATTTTTGCATCTATGCTTACGTGTAAGATGTTAGATTCGCTTAAAACATCAATAGTAATAAGAATGCATGCATAAAACTTATTTAAATTATATGGTAAGAGAGTTTGAGATTCAAAAATTTACCAAAACTGTGGGATGGTTATGAGGATGATCTGGGATACTTAGGGGTTGAATCTGGACTCTGGAAGACTCCTGGGGATCTCAGGAATGTATTAGTGGTCTTGGTTTGGATTGATAGCGTCTGGAAGTGAAGTTACAGATTTTGCAACTTTTCTTTGATTTTTGAGAATTTTGAGAGAGCTCTTGCATGCAAGGATTTTGTGGTCCTTTTTGGCTTGCCTTGTAGTGCTTTATATAGAGGGAAGGGAGGAGCAAGTATGGCAAGAAATCAAAGCTTTCAAGGCCATGAGACAAAAATCCAACATATTGAAAGTTTGTCATATTTAAATGATTCTTGCCAATTCCGTTTTTGCATGAACCTAGACAATTTTTGTCGGTCTTTGCACGAAATACTGGACTCCATGATGGGTCAAGTTAAGCCCAAATGCGTTATCCCATTTTTTATTGTATTTTTATTAAATTTATTTCAGTTTAAACTAAATAAAATCAAGATAAATATAAATAAAAATAAATAAAAATCAAGGTCATGCAAAAATAGACTTAGAGGTCCTCTAAGATGTTATAGACATGTTTGAACATCAAAAACTAGGCTCATAGGTTCAAAAATGTAATTTTGCTCAATTTGTCCTTCATGAATTTCTTCAAAATTCCCACACCTGTGCAACTTATAAGTTGCTCAATTTTCATCTTTTGAAGATGATCTTGGACTTTTTGGAAATCTCAATATGTCCTATACAATCTGTATGTTGATCATTTTTGCTTTTGAAGAGATTATTTTGATGTAAGTTGCCTTGACAAAAAGTATC